CTCTCTGGCGGGCGAGCGCAAGCACCCTACAGTAAAAAAAAAAAAAAGCAAAACGCACTGGGCACATGAGCGTGTGTGCTTGCCCAAATCTTGAAAAGAAAATGGAAAAAGGAGAAATGGAGGAGAAGGGATTGCAGTGTGGCCACCCCCCTTCATGTGAGGGTGTGTTTTTTCACATTCTCTCTCTCTCTCTCTCTCTCTCTCTGGTGAGTGCACTCACTCTATGGCAAAAAAAAAAAAAAAAAGCCTTAAAAAAAAAAGAAATTCACTTTTTCTGGAGGAGGCAGAGGTCTTTATAAGTCTTTTTACTAGGCACAACTATGAATGACCTCATTTTGATGTTAATATGTTTCAGGTGATGACAACCTATGCAACACTCCTCATTTACCTCCCTGTTCTCCACCAAAGCAAGGCAAGAAAGAGAATGGTCCCCCTCGCTCACGTACACCTAAGGGACGCAGATTGGTATTTGACAATTTGCTGACAAGTAAGTCTCCTAGCAAACGAGAACAAGCCAGAGTTCACCAAAACAAGATAATTTCCTCTGTTCAAAAAGGTCAAGAGATCACAAAAAATTCTGAGAAGTATCCACTGGAGATTGAATCTGCACGTATGAGACTCTTCAAGCAAGAAGGTTTGTTCTCACAAGGCAGCTGCTGGTGCAGCCGTCATAAACAAGTCACTCTGATGACTCCAGAGGAAACCCAGTGGGTCTTCTAAGTCACCTTCTGTGGTGTCTAATGGTTCTGTTATGTTTGACACAGGCACTTGCTACCAGCAAGCAAAGCTGGTCCTGAATACAGCTGTCCCAGATCGGCTGCCTGCCAGAGAAAAGGAGATGGATGTCATCAGGAATTTCCTAAGGGAGCACATCTGTGGGAAAAAAGCTGGAAGTCTTTATCTTTCTGGTGCTCCTGGAACCGGAAAAACTGCCTGCTTAAGCCGAATTCTGCAAGACCTCAAGGTACCTTGAGAGTGTGAATTATGAAGCTCTTGCTAAAATTATACTTGGTTATTAAGGGTTAAGAAAATAGAAATTTAGGAAATTGAAGGTTTCCTCAAAACGAGACATTTTCAGTTTCACTGTCTAAATATTTCCAAATGAAAGAGCTTTCTTTCTTGTACGCTGTTAGCTCCTCAGAGATATTTCGGGTTCCATTAAATCTTTATCCAAGGCGAAATTAGCTCTCATGTTTGCATTTTTTTTCTAGAAGGAACTGAAAGGCTTTAAAACTATCATGTTGAATTGCATGTCCTTGAGGAGTGCCCAGGCTGTATTCCCAACTATTGCTCAGGAGATTTGTCAGGAAGAAGTATCCAGGCCAGCTGGGAAGGACATGATGAGGAAATTGGAAAAACATATGACTGCAGAGAAGGGCCCCATGATGTAAGTATTGCTCTGCTACATGTAGCTCTGTGGAAATCTACAGGGTCTTTTGCCCACAAAAGGAATATTCCTTGCATTTGCTCTATGAGAAGTAGTTATACAAAATTAAAGGAAAAAAAGAGAAACAGCTTCTAAATTTAAACTGGAACAAATATTTTTAAACTAATTGCTTGAAAACACTTGAATGTTACTTGTTCATGATGTGGAGGGTAGCAGTGACTAGAAAAAGGATCTTTAAACTTGTCTCAGTTAGGGACCAGCCAGTGGCATGTTGGTAAAGGTGGCTGGATCTCACACGACTGAGATCAAGTCCTGGAACAATGGCTTGAGGAATATGCTGGGTGCATGTACATATATGCCCAAAATCCCAAAAGGAGAATGAGAAGATTATAGTGTGGTCATCTCTCCAGGGAGTGATTTCTCACACACATATGCCCTATAGCAAAACTAAAAAAAATTAGATAAACTGGTCTCAACTCTAGTAATGTGATCTAAAGATAGCCCACATCAAACAAATTGGGTTAATGTGAATTTGGGTGTCAGCCGATGGTGTGGTGGTTAAGGTGCTGAACTCCTACATGACCGACAAATCCCCCTGGATCTAGTGGTTTGAAAATCATGCCGAGTGCATGTGCGTGCAAGCCCAAAATCCCAGGAGAGTGGAGAACAAATTGTGGCATGGCTATCCCCCTGGGGTGTAATTTCTCATTTTTCATCTCACTCTGTCTCTCTCTGGTGAACATGTACCCTATGGCAAAAACAAAAAGAAAAAAAAAAAGGAATTAATTTAGGGGCCAGACTGTGCCTAGCAGTCTGCATAAAATTGCCTTCAGGTTAAGTGTGTGAGGTATATTTGAAACATAAAAGCACAATGCTCTGTGGGACTAACCCACATGGGGAGGTACCCTAGATTTACTTCTGGGAACCTCCCTCAGTATGCAAGACACACGTGTGTTCATAATCTGGGGCTGGCTGAGGGTGGATTGTGGGGAAATTGAGACCTATGAGAGGGGTACTTTCTTTTTTTCTTTTCTTTTTTTTTTTTTTTTTTTTAGGGAGTTATTTTGCTCTAAGTCATAATGCGCTTGCCAGAGAGACAGAAAGACAAAAACGAGAAATGATCCCCCAAGGGGGATGGCCACACCACAATCCGTTCTCCATTCTCCTCTTGGGATCTTGGGCACGCATGCACATGCGCCCGGTGTGAGTTTAAGCCACTGGGTCTGGGACTTGAACTGCGGTCGCCTACATGGGAGTTCAGCAATGTAACCATTACACCATCTACTGGTAGAGGGGCACTTTATTTGTCTTTCTATTACAGGCACATGCTCATATGAGTAATAAATGAATAAACATTTTTTTTAAAAGGTGATTGTGGATACTAATTGTTTTTCTTTATATGTAGTGTGCTGGTATTGGATGAAATGGATCAGCTGGACAGCAAAGGGCAGGATGTACTATACACACTATTCGAATGGCCATGGCTAAGCAATTCTCGATTGGTGTTGATTGGTTAGTGCTTAATCAATCGTTTTTGTTTGTTTATGTAAAGAGCTATTTATTACTATTTTAATTTGACCAAAGAGAGACAGAAGGGGAAAGAGAGCGAGCAAACTGCCAGATCCGGGACTTGAACCGCAGTTGGCCATGTAGCAGTTCAGCACCTTAACCACCATTCTACCTGCTGGCCCCAGTGCTCGATTGTTAATGTCACATGTGGTTTTAAAGTGTTTTTTTCTATTCAGCTTATTTATGACCTATCATTTTAACTTTTTAAACACAATTATTTTATTTAACTTTGTTTATTTATTATAATTTGACCAGAGATGGACAGACTGAGAGAGGGGGAAAGAGAAAGCAAGAAAGCAAGCCACTAGGTCGGGGACTTGAATCATGGTTGGCCATGTGGGAGTTCAATACCCTTAACTACCGTGCCACTTGCCAGCCCCCTTATCATTTTATTTTAAACCAGCTTTTTGCTTGTTTTCTATCTTAAGCCAGCTTTCAGCAAAACAAGAAAATTACTGTTAAATAATTAATTTTAACCTAAGGCAAATCGGTTTTGTTAAATCTGAATAGAAATGACACATTGAGCATCCCTAATATAAAAATCTGAAATCTGAAGTCCTCACAGGTTCAAATTTTCTGAGCACTGACATGATGCCATAAGTGGAAAATTCCACACCTGACCTCATGTGATGGGTTATAGTCAAAGTACCACAATACAAAAATATTATATAAAATCACCTTCAGGTTATGTGTGTGAGGTATGTTTGAAACATAAATGAATTTTATGTTTAGACTTGGATCTCATCCCTAGGATATCTCATGACATATATGTAAATATTCAAGTCTTAAATCTAAAATACTTTTGGTGCCATCCATTGTGGATAAGGGATATTCAGCTTGTAATACTGAGATAGAAACAGTAGATTTTTAGGCTATGTTTTTTTCTTACCAGTGAACAATTCTAAGCTTAACTTGAAAAGAACTTTATATAATAGCTGTTGTGCATCTCACCTAAGGTACATCTGTTGATATACCTACTGGAGTGGGCTATGTAGCAAGAGGGAGGTAACCATTGGAATGCTGGATTATAAGTGGAAATTTAATTTAGCTTTTAGACGGTTTAGTTTTCTTTTTGGGATGATTTGGCCAAAGATAATTGGTATTTTTTATTTCCTCCTCAGGTATCGCTAATACCCTGGATCTCACAGACAGAATTCTGCCTAGACTTCAAGCTAGAGAAAAGTGTAAGCCACAGTTATTAAACTTCCCACCATATACCAGAAATCAAATAGCCACTATCTTACAGGATCGACTTAATCAGGTAGGTGCCTACCATTGTGCATGATTGTGTGTTCCTTGAATAACCTGTAATAGGAGAACTTAACAGCAGTTTTAAAAATATTTTTGCTTTGATTGCGTTACTAATGGGGTAGAGAGTTCCTATGAACCATAGTGAGGACATTTTAATCTGAAATTCTACACATGGCTCTATTGGAAGCCTTAACGTTGAAATAAAAGTAGGCGTTAGAGGACTTACTCAAATGTTTTCTTAATTGCCTTTAAAAGGTGAAAAAGTGTTCTCTTTTGAAAGTGATTGAATAGATTTTATTTTCTTGATTGCTTTTCTCTATTCATGATCCTCCGTCATCACATTTCTACAAAAAGCTTACATGCATGAAAATGTAAACATGCCATTTATTTATGAGCAGAAAAGGCACCTCTTATATCCTAAAGGGTGACCGAATTTGGACTTAAATGTGAAAATATTTATGTCTAGAACCTAAATTGCCACAGGGGAATCTTATAGTTCTGTGTCTTATCTGAAGGTGCCTAGAGATCAGGTTCTGGACAGTGCTGCAATTCAGTTCTGTGCCCGCAAAGTCGCTGCTGTCTCAGGAGATGTTCGCAAAGCCCTAGATGTTTGCAGGTGAGTTATGGCACTGGTGGCTGCTTTTATTAAAAAGGAGAAATGCTGTTAATTGTCTCATGTAACTCAAGTGAATGTGGCTTAAGAGGCTCCATTCTGCTACTTTTTATGCTCAGAAAGGAGGACTTGTTTCTCAGTGGGAAGCTCTGGATTTCCACCGTGTTAATGTCTGAAACATTATCAGTCCATTACCTACAGAGGGAGAAATAAATGAGATGTTGCTGGCACTCCCTGTGGTGATTATAGATTGGTTAATTACATTTGTATTAAAAAAGACTCCAGTTTACTTTTCCATTAGCTGGTCTCAAGCAGGTTTATTTATGGACCTGAACCATCTTTGCCTTTAGACTTTTTTCCCCTTCCTTTCTTTGTGAGCACCCCTTATTTCCTTCAGTTGGTGGTCCCCCACAGTTGTACTCCAGACCTCTTTCTCCCTTCCCATCCCCCTGTCCCTCCTGCTGGGGAAAGCCTCTGTGCTGACTGATGAAATTTCTTCCCTCCCAGTAGGGACACTGGGTCCATTAAAATGATACTTGCTGTGCTGGCCCGCTGGTCCAACCTCCCCCTACTTCCATGCAGAAGATCCAGGTCTGGCTTATGGCTTCCTGTGGGCAAAGTACTTTGGAGAGAGCAGTGGGAGAGTAAGCTCTTCCTATTGCTAGATTGCATGATCCTGAATTTAAAAGTTTTCCCTAGTCAGCAAACTACTTGAGTAAAGACTACAGCTATGAGCAATAGTCATGTAGGCTGGTATGGTTTAGCCTACACTCATCCAATGTCCATATAGCTGAGGACTCTCCTTTTAGATGTGCTGCGTATGGGCGGTGCTAGTTCTCCTTGGTCAGTCACCCACACTGTATATCCTCTCTCCTATTCATGACATTTTCTCATCCAAAATGTTATCATTGGCTCAATGTATGACCTCCATACTTGGCATCAACAAGAGGAAACCATGTTTTTTCAAATCCTTGGTCCACGAATTACTTCAAGGCAATAAGGTTCCCTTTATCTGAGATATAACCCAGTTTTGTTTGGGGACTTTAAAATTATGAAACATGTTTTTAGTTAATGTGCCTGCTTCTGAGCTTGGTGGTTTGGGGTGGTGTTTGGTTTGGCTCAGACTAAATTAATTTTGGAAATTTTTTTTATAGGAGAGCTATTGAAATTGTAGAGTCAGATGTCAAAAGCCAGACTATCCTCAAACCACTGTCTGAATGTAAGTAGTTTATCTTTTTCCTGTCTTTCTTTATAATTAGAAGCTTAGCTTTTCTGAGGAAAGCAATAGAGAGAATGTAGTTAAATCCTCACTTACCAATTTGTGTGTGTGTGTGTGTGTGTGAGAGAGAGAGAGAGAGAGAGAGAGAAAATTCTATCTACTTTATCAACCTTGCCTGCCAGTATTGTAGCCCATGCATTACTGGAAATGAGTTCCTCAGAGTGTTACATAAATGGCTGGAATGGAGTAAGCTTTCTTCCCATGCTCTAGGAATAAAAACTGCAGACGATGGGGCTGGCAGGTGGTGTGGTGGTTAAGGGTGTTGGACTCCCACATGGCTGACCGCAGTTCAAGTCTTGGACTTGGCGACTTGCTTTCTCACTTTCTCACTTTCTCTCTCTCTCTCTCTCTCTCTGTCCCTCTCTGGCAAAATTAAAATAAATAAATAAAGTTAAATAAAATAATTCTTTAAAAAAACCTCACAGACAATAGGGCCAGCAGTTGGCATAGTGGTTATGTTACTGGACTCCCACATGGCTGATCATAGTTCAAGTCCTGGAACCAGTGGCTTGACGATCACACTGGGTGCATGTGTGTGCATGCCCAAGATCCTGGGAAGAGAAGGGATTGCAGTGTAGCCAGCTCCTCTGGGCAGGGAGGATTTCTCACTTTCCATCTCACTGTCTCTGTCTCTTTCTCTACAAGTGCATGCGTCCTAGGGGAAAGACCTCTTTAAAAAAAAAAAAAAACTTGACAATAAGGTCACATCAGCCTGTCTCTGGATGCTTAATGATGAGTGCACTTTAGGTCTCAATATGAGTGAAACCAAAGCCTAACAAGGGAGAGTCCAGTGAAAGGACTGTGAGTTCAGCCTTGGACATCTCAAGCCTTTAAACAAGTCTAGGAGGGAAGAGGAACAAAAATCATATTGCTGCGGTAAACTGCTGTCTATCATAAATTACTTAATTTTCCTTTACCTCAGCCTTGTTCTTTTAGCTCTGGCAAATGTAAAATGGCCATGTCAATGTTTAATATCCAGTATTAATCTTTAGAAACAGTACATTTGATTATTTCTCTCTTCACACCTGCGATAGGCAGGATTTACTAAAATTGTTTCTAGCACTACAGTTTTGCATAAAATGCATTCTTTCTTTTTCATCAAATTGTTAAAGTATGTGTAAAATATTGGGCCAGCTGGTGGCGTGGTGGTTAAGGTAGCTGAATCCCATGTGGCTGACTGCATAGTTCAAGTCCTGGACCCAGCAGCTTGAAAACATGCCAGGTATACTTGCATGCATGCCCAAAATCCCTAAAGGAAAAATGGAGAAGGGCTTGTAGTGTGACAATTCCCCATAGGGAGTACCCGCTCACTTTTCCTCTCTTTTCTCTTTCCTTTAGAGAACGCATGCATGCCCTAGAGTAAATTTAAAAAGAAAGAAGGTGGTGAAGAAAGGAAGGAGGGAAAGGAAGCACATATGTTTATGTGTGTGTGTGTGTGTGTGTGTGTGTGTGTGTGTGTATAAAAAAATATATATATGAAGTAGCCTGGACTCCCACATGGCTGACTGTGGTTCAAATCTCAGACCTGGCAGCTTGCTTTCTCAATTTCCTTCTCTTTCTCTCTGTCTCTCTCTGGTCAATTTCAATAAAAATAATTTTGGGGAGGACCAGCAGGTAGTGTGGTGGCTGAGGTGCTGGACACTCCCACATGGCCAACCATGGTTGGAGTCCCGGACCTGGTGGCTTGCTTTCTCACTTTCTCTCTTTCTGGTCAAATTAAAATAAACGAGTGAATAAGTAAAATTAAATAACTAAATCTTTTTTTAAAATACTTTTTTAAAATTACAGTAAAATAAAATAATTATTTTTAAAAAAGAAGTAGCCATGACCAGCAGATGGCATAATAGTTACATTGCTGGACTCTCATGTAGTCAACTGGTTTGAGTCCCAGACCCAGCAACTTATAAAACTCATGCCGGGTGTGTGTGTGCATGCGTGCCCAAAATCCTATCCTCAGAGGAGAATGGAGGAGAAGGAATTTTGGTGTGGCCATCTCCCGGGGGGGGGGGGGGGGGGGCGTGCTTTCTCACTTTCTATCTTTTTGTCTCTCTCTGTCTCTCTGGCAAGCACATGCGTCCTATGGTAAAAATTTCTCTTAAAAAAAAAAAAGTAGCCAAAACTAGTGCTTGGGCTTATAGTAGGCAAACTATCCCAACGCATAGACTCAGATCCTGGTTTCCTCTTCAACTTTTCAGAATTTTCCCTTTCTAATAACATTTAGGCTTGGCTGTGACATCCTGGCACATGAATAGCTGAAGAGGTTGTGGGTTCCTGGCATAAATTATTAAGTTCTCAGAAAAGTCATGATGGATTTTTGCATAGAAAAATAGGACATAGGGGTTGGCAGGTGGTGTGGTGATTAGAGTGCTGGACTCCCACATGGCCAACTGTAGTTCAAGTCCCGGACCTGGTGGCTTGCTTTCTCACTTTCCCTTTCTCTGTCTGGTATGTACGTATGTATGTATTAATAAATAAATGCATGCAAATAAAATAGAAACAAAAAAACTATAGCATGATTTTCCAACAACCCAATATTAATCTAATTCCTACTTTTTGACTTCTGGTATATATGGGATTGACTTTTAATGGCTTTAGAAAGCTGTAGGGAGACTGACTTCAACTAAATGTAAGAAGAAACTTCCTAATTAAATAGAGCTAACTGGACTTTTTCGAAACATCGTGAGTTCCCAAGCATTGAAGATATAAAAGCTGATAGATGACCACATGTTGGGACTGTTTTAGAGGGTACTCAGTCACTGGGTTGGGAGTAAGAATAGACTTCTAAAATTCCTTTCAACTTTTAGATTCTGTTACCTGATCTGCAGTCTCTGGTTTCTCTATTAATCCTCTGCAGCATCCCATTTGTGGTAATGAAATAGAAGCAAATTGTTGTGGGGCAACTGCAAATGGTCTCAGGAAGTGACTTCAGGCAAAGGTTGTTACAAAGCAAATCCCTCCTCTGTCCTGTAGTTCATGCATCTCCAAACAATGGGGCCATAGTCCTATGCAGCTTGTTGGCAGTTTCCCAACCTCTGGCTTTTGAGATGGTGCTATCTGCTAGGATATCCAGTGACATTTTCTCAAGTGTTGCTCTACTGCAGATCAGCTTGGGCAAGTGAACGAAACCTTAAAGGTCATTTGGGGAGGCCATCTGGAGGACTGATAATGGGATTGACTTTACTGTCCACATTTCGCTGCTCATTTGATTCAAAATATTAGGTCTTTTTTTTTTTTTAGTCCTTAATTGCCAGACACAGTCATGATCTCTGCTTAAAGGTTCTGTTCTTTACCTTTAAGATACAAAAAACTTCCAAAACAGAATACAGTAATTCTCTGTCTGATCCTTAGTCTTTCATGAGGTGGATTTTTTTTTTTTAACATTAAATTACATTCCACAGGACAAAATAGCTCACTAATCTACCCGGAGAAAGATAACCTTACTTTCCAAGTCATACCACATTATTTTGACATCTCTCTGAGGATAGCATTCTCTCTCACCCACTGGCTTCTAGTTAGAGAGTTGGAACTTCTGCTTTGCAACTACATGACTGCACCTGGATTTCCTTTAGCTAAAACTTAGTACCTGTCTCAACACACACATACACAAAATATCTTAAAAATCTAGTTATGTACACAGAGGTATGCACCTATAATCCTAGCTGCTAGGGAGTCTGAGTCCAGCTTGGGCAACATAGCAAGACCTTGTCTCTCTGTCTCTCTTTTTTATTTTATTTTTTTTTAATTTTACCAGAGGGTGTGTGCTCTCAACAGAGAGAAGAAGAGGGAGAAAGCATCCCTCCACCCACCCGCCCCTGGGAGGGATGGTCATGCCACAGTTCCTTCTCCAGTTCTCCCTCCTTTTGGGATTTTGGGCACATACGGACCCAGTGTGTATGTTTGTTTGTTTGTTTGAGAGGTTTTTGCTATAGGGCGCATGCGCTTACCAGAAAGACAGAGACAGACAGAAAGCAAGAAATCACCTCCCGGGGGGATGGCTACGCTGCATTCCCTTCTCCTCCATTCTCCTCTTGGGATCTTGGGCATGCACGCACACGTGCCTGGCATGAGTTTAAGCCACTGGGTCTGGGACTCAAACTGCGGTTGACTACATGGAAGTCCAGCGACATAGCTATTATACTAACTGTTGGTTCCCCCCCGCCACCCCCAGTGTGTTTCTTAAGCCACTGGATCTGTGGGGTCAACCATGCGGGATCTGGCTTTCTTACTACAGACTTGGCTGACTTGACCTTGTCTCTTTTCATAAATAAATAAATAAATAAATAAATAAATAAATACTAAGCTTAATTTATTTACTTTATAGGTAAATCACTCTCTGAGTCTCTGGTTCCCAAGCGAGTTGGTCTTACTCACATATCCCAAGTTATTTCGGAAATTGATGGTAACAGGATGATTTGTAGCCAAGGGGGAACACAAGATTCCTTCCCTCTTCAGCAGAAGATTTTGGTCTGTTCTTTGCTGCTTTTGACCAGGCAGTTGAAAATCAAAGAGGTTACTCTGGGAAAGGTAAGTTGGGAATCTCAGCAGATAGAGTTAAAGTAGAGACGTAAATCTGCTTTGCATGGCAGATATTTTCTGAAAGGCCTATCATGCTCCTGCTGATGTGAATTAAAAATGGATTGCAGCAGTAAGAATAAATGCTGGTACTGTACAGAAGGCATGTTATTTCCTTAGGGTTGTGATCTAGAGTTAACAATCTGTTACTCATTCTTCCCTTCATTTCTGCCTCTCCCTATGAAAGAGATAAAGCCCTTTTCCTACTTTACAGTAAAGGTTTTGGAACTATTCGTGGAAGATTATGAGATTACAAAAGATGTGACTTTTAAGCAACATTTGTTCTCCCTTGTTTTCCTCCCAGTTATATGAAGCCTATAGTAACGTCTGTCGAAAACAGCAGGTGGCAGCTGTGGACCAATCAGAGTGTTTGTCACTTTCAGAGCTCTTGGAAGCCAGGGGTGTTCTAGGATTAAAGAAAAACAAGGAAACCCGCTTCACAAAGGTACAGCTAATTGCTTCTTTATGATAATGCCCTTTATTACCCTGTTTCAGAGAGCTTATCCTTTGCTAAAGTAAAGATTGAAAAATGACCACAGTTAGGTAAACTATTTAGTTTTTATTAGATAGAGTTCAGGTGTGTAAGGACTTAGAGTAGTATATGAATGAGATATAGTGTTCAGGCTATAGAAAAAGCAATGTTTCGCTTGCTTATTCCTTATGGGAAAAAGTTTATGGTTCAAGTTTGTGTAATGGGTTCCAGATGATGGTGCAGCAGTAACATGATGGGTTCTCGGGTCAAGTCTTGAGACCTCCTTGAACATGCCAGGTACATGGGGCTGGCCAAGTCGAGGGATAGGTCATGGCAGGAGGACCCTTTTGTCAGTGCCTCTCTTTCTCCCTCCCTCTCTCATGGAAGAAATAAATAAACTAAAAAAAATAAATAAATAAGTTTGTGCAATAACTTTGCTTTTGTGAGTTCTCAACTGTGAAGAATCCTGTTCTTTTTTTTTCTAGGTGTCTTTGAAGGTTGAAGAGAAGGAAGTAGAGCATGCTCTGAAAGACAAAGCTTTGATTGGGAATATCTTAGCTACTGGGTTGCCTTAAAGTCTTCTCTGACATCTCACCTAAAAGTATTCAGCTGGCAAATAGAGTTATGGAGTCTTCATTTTAATACTTGGTGCATTGAGGTCTGAAAACAAATAAGACCTTTCCTTCAAACCAATGAATTTTATTCATAGTTATGAATATTACCACAGAATCATGTCTTTGGGTCTTGTCGATTTTACCCATAAAAATGATCAAGTATATTCTTTTTAATTATGTTCACTACCTCTACCACTTGTATGTCTAACCAACATGCTTGCAAGTGTACAGATTTGTGTTGCGAAATGTGTGTATACCTGTTGGCTTCTTCATTGTATTTTGTTAAGAACTATGAGGCTAGATTAAGAAGAATGAAAAAGAATGATCCAGAAGAATAAGCAAGTCCACATGGAGATTTGGTGGACACATTTGTTGAAAAATGTCTTTCCTTTTGGAGTGTATTGTGTTCGTGTTGCAGATCCTACCACATTGTGACATTTTAAAGACTCCTTGAGTTCCTTGGGCATTCCTAAGGTTGTGGGGGTGGTAAGGAGAATGTAACTCAACAGATTGTGAATATATTTATTTTCAATTTGCATTATTTTGTCTTTTTAAGCAATCGCACTTCAAGAGAACTTAGGCTTTCAGAAGGTAATATGAAAATTCCTTCCCAAACTGTCCTATGGTCTTAGCTGCCGTCAGATGAAACCACTTGCTTCAAGATGTTTTAGTTTGGGTTCAGATTTTCATGTACACATAGTTTTCAAGTCTTATTAGATAAATTAATGCATATGGATACTCAAGACTCCTCTTTCCTGGGTTTGGGTTCCAGAGGCATTAGATGGCAATTTGTAACAGGGCCACCAGAGGGCACCATTATAACACTGACTGCTTTGAAAGTGCAGACTTGGGGCTGGGGTAGTTTTGAGGGAAGGAAGAGAAAGTACTTAAATGTGACCTGCTTAGAAGAGTGCTATACTTTGGTAATTCAGGCATATGCTTAAAATGCAAACCAGGTGTGTTGTGGATGGTCTTAGAGCGAGTGATGAGTCTACTCCCGGAGCTCTTCAGCTCCCCCCTGCCTTTCTGACATGGCCTTGAGTTTGGGAACTTGATATATGTATAAATGATCTGTTGGCCACTGTTTCATTCATTCTGCCCACTCTATCCTTGTAATGTGATCTGAACTACAGCAGGTGGTGTGGGATAGAAGAAAGGCAAGCAGAACCCTCTGAAATGAACACTACCCCCTGGTAGTGTATAGGAGAGGATAGCCTGTAGGCAGGAGTCAGAATGTTCTCACTCACACTCCTTTAGCAGAGCATTTCTTCCCTCTGAGGGTAATTTGCAGGTGGGGGCACAGTTGGAATGTGTCTGGGGCTGTAAGGGTTAACTAGCATAATTGCAAAGATTGTCCGAAAGCTGATGGAAAGCAGAGACTGAATGGGATTGAGAACAGATGCGAGTCTTGATTTAAATTACATTTTATTGGATGCTGCAGCCTTAAGAGACGTGACTGCTTTACAGTTTGTTTCCACACTGTGGGCAGCTGCTGTCTGTTCCGTGTCCACAGTAGGATCCTGCCCAAAAAGGAGCGGCCTCCCCACCTCGTTGTGTTTGAGGCTTGGCGCCTTCCTCTTAACTGTAGGGCTTGAGTCAGGAACATGGCTTGACTCGCAGTGGGGCTGCTATGTATCCTCCTTGGCTTCCAGCCAAGATCACATTTGCAGATTCAAAGGGGCCAAATTTCTTTCCCCTCTACCTCCTTACTCTCTCTTTCCCCTGGTACTTGAAAATAGGGTTTTCTGTGTACTGGTTTGTTAGTTTCCTTTCCTTCAGTTCTCCCCCCACTGTCAATTTCTAGGTCATTGCTGCTCTTAAGACTTTAGCAATTGGAACAGGGTTGGTTCTGTCAATGATGCGTGAAGCAGACTTAGAGTCCCTGCTTGGCTTCCGCTGCCCTTGTGGGAGCAAAAGCTGATATATGTTTGTCAGTAAAGTCTTAAGTGTAATTCAGACAGCCGGGGCAGAAAGGAAGACAGTCCTTTCCTTGCTGGCTTTTCTCACTGAAGCAGAATGCTACAGGAAGGTGGCAGGATTTTCAGTGGGATGGAATGGGCTGTGGTTCCTAGTTTTTGCCAGGATTGTGGACTGCTTCACTTAGAGTCAAACAGAGCTGCTGACCTATATTCTTCCTTTTGAAGGAGGTGGGGTATGTGTATGTACCTTGGTTTATCTCTCTCTTTTTTTTTTTTTTCCTGAGAACCAGATTAAGCTAGGTTGTTGGGTATTGCTATGGAAAGAACATAGACTCAGTAAAGTTGGTGTGAGTTTCAACCCCAGAGCTGCCACTGACATTTCTGGCCCAACTAAGACTTGTCTGTGGCTAGCAAACTGCGAGAATGTGTGAGGTCCAAACTCCCCAGAGATCAAAAAAGTTGGCAGAGCCCTATTCATCCTCCACCCCCCACCCATTGCTTTCTACCTTTATTTATTTGAGAGATTTTTGCTATGGAGCATGTGTGCTTGCCAGAGAGACAGAAAGTGAGAAATCACCCCCCCCCCAGGGGGAATGGCCACACCACAATTCCTTCTCCATTCACCTCTCAGGATTTTGGGTATACACGCACCCAGCATGAGTTTTAAGCCACCAGGTCTGGGACTCGAACTGTGGTCAACTACATGGGAGTCCAGCAATGTAACCATTATGCCTGCCATCTGCTGGTCTCACTCTACTTACTATTAAGTGCTCTTTTAAGATATAACAATAAGAATTGGAAAAGGAATAAAATAGGACACAAGTCATATTTTAAAAATACATACTACAGGGACCAGCAGTTACTGTAATTGCTATGTCGCTGGACTCCCATGTAGTCAACTGCGGTTCGTTCCGTGTCCCGGTGGCTTAAACTCATGCCGGGTGTGTGTGCGTGCGTGCCCAAGATCCCAAGAGGAGAGTAGAGGAAAAGGGATTGCGGCATGGCCATCTCCCCCCTGGGGAGTGATTTCTTGCTTCCTGTCTCTGTCTCTGGCAAGCACACGTGCCCTATAGCAAAAAAAAAAAAAAAAAAAATCTCCAAAAAAAAATACATATTAGGGAGCCAGCAGGTGGCATGATGGTTTGGGCACTGGATTCCCACATGGCTGACCACAATTCAAGTCCCAGACCAGGCATCTTGCTTTCTTTTCCTCTGGTGAGCACTCTTGCCCTGTAGCAAATTTTAAAATAATAATAATAAATAAAATTAAATAATTATTTTCAAAAGTTGAAATGAAGAGACCAGAGTTAGCGTAATGGCTATGTCACGGACTCCCATGTAGTCTACCACAGTTCAAGTCCCGGACCAGGTGGCTTAAACTTATGTCGGGCGTACATGCCCAAGATCCCTAGAGGAGAATGGAGAAGGGATTGCAGTGTGGCCTCCCCCCAAAAAAAAGTTGAAATAAGAATATATATTAGGGAACCAGCAGTTAGCGTAATGGCTATGTCGCCGGACTCCCACATAGTCGACCGCGGTTCGTGTCCCGGACCCGGTGGCTTAAAACTCACGCCAGGCGCGTGTGCGTGTGTGCCCAAGATCCCGGGAGGAGAATGGAGGAGAAGGGATTGCAGTGTGACCATCCCCCCTGGGGGGTGATTTCTCGCTTTCTGTCTCTATGTCTCTCTCTGTCTGGCGAGCGCACGCGCCCTATAGTGAAAAAAAAAAAAAGAATATATATTAGACCTTACATGATAGGAATCCATCATTTTAAATAAGATACTGCATTTTTCTGCAGCCTGAGGACAGTTCTAAGCTGGGGATAAACATTGGTGCCTTTGCTCTAAGGTGGAGTGGGCCTCTGCAACAGAAGTACTTCATCTTACAGAGTGTCTTGGCACTGTAGTGGAACATGTTTTGGCCTCACAGATGCGTTCTAATCACTCCCTCTGATGTAGTGGTATTTTGCTTGAGGCAACTTCCATTTTGCTCAGGGGAAGCTTTGGCTGTGGGGAGAGTCGTACCTGCAGAATGGGAAGTGGGTGCTCGCCTGGAGGTTACCTAGTACTTATAGAGCTTGTTCAGTACCTGTACGTTTGGTGAGCGAGGGATTCCAGAGGATCTTAACTTTTTTTTCTTTCCAGTTTTAGTTATAAGATGTGTGCACTTGCTGGGACCAGCATTTAGCGTAATCGCTATGTCGTTGAACTCCCTTGTAGCCGACTGCGGTTCGAGTCCCGGACCCGGTGGCTTCTACTCACACTGGGCGTGTGTGCGTGCATGCCCAAGATCCCAAGAGGAGAATGGAGGAGAAGGGATTGCAGCTGGCCATTTAGGGTCCAGCACCCCAAACTTCATGCCATCTGCTGGCCCTCCTGATGTCCCACTTTTTTTTTTTTTCTTTGTTCATGATAGTGTTCATACACACATAAAAAAGAGACCTCAGGACCAGCAGTTAGCGTAATGGCTATGTTGCTGGACCCCCATGTAGTCGACCACGGTTTGAGTCCCGGACTCGGTGGCTTAAACTCATACCAGTTTGTGTGTGTGCGTGCCCAAGATCCTGAGAGGAGAATGGAGGAGAAGGGACTGCAGCGTGGCCATCCCCCCCCCCGGGAAGTGATTTCTCGCTTTCTGTCTCTGCCTTTCTGGTGAGTGCACGCACCCTATAGCAAAAAACTCTCCAAAAAAGAAAAGGAAAAAAGAGACCTCTCCATAGAGTTTAGTCATGCTATGATGCCCTTCCTCCAAAGCATGGGCACTGGTGCTTGAGCCTGGTTAGTTCCCAGCTGACTAGGCTGGGGATTCGGACCACAGTTGAAATGTAGAATCTGGCTTCTCTTGAGCAGCACATTATCACCGTACCAAAGAACTGGCTCTGATGTCCCACCTTTTCACTTTTGGGATAAGTTGTGACCTCAGGTTCCTCTTTGAAAAGATCTGGTGCCCTCTGAGACACATTCTCTATCTTTTTTTTTTTTTTTTTTAAGGTTTTTGCCATAGGGCATGTGCGCTGGCCAGAGAGACAGCCAGTGAGCGGCACCCCCTGGGGGAATGGTTGCACCATAATCACTTCTCCATTCTGGAATTTGAGACGCACACACCCATGCACCCGTCATGAGTTTCAAGCCACCTGATCTGAAACTGGAACCTTGGTGAGCCATGTGGGAGTCCAGTCCCTTAACCACCGTGTCACCTGCTGGCCCTTAGTACACAGTTTCTTAAGCTGCAGGTCTCCATCTCAGGAGAGTTGCATTCTGTATGGGGAGAGGCCTGCCCTCTGGCCTCCCCTTGATTTTCAACCCCAGCCCAGAAGCACTGGTGGTAGAAGCTAATTGGGTGCAAGGGGTCTGGGCAAAGGCTGAAGACTGGCAAAAGGAGAGAGCCAACTCCATTTTTAAAAAAGCTCTAATTGAGTTCTGAATCAGCCTCACTCTCTTTGATCCCTCCTCTGTTTCCCACACTGCCTGAAAGAGCTAGATCAGCACTTTATAACAAGGGTGCGCCTGCTCCCCGCACCCGCCCCCCTCTCCTGACGCTCTCTGCTGCCGCCATCCACTGCTTGTCTCCTTCAGTTAAGATAA